TATTTGACCACATTTTATATGTTGAGTTCTTTCTTTGAAGGTCTCATTCCGCACTATACAGACGTAGACCACATTTCCTGCATAGTAACTTGAACCTCTGCAAGGACCTATGAACTAGTCAGAAACATAAAGGTAAGTGTATGTGAATTCACATGACAAAAGATACAAAACTATTCCTGACATTCTATCATTACCCTGGCTTATAAGACATTTGAAAATCAACTTCAATTGAGCACAATGACTATACCCTATGGAGGACTTTAGGCTTATACAAGAATGGTAACTTTTCTGCACGAGGGCCAAAAATCCATTTTACAAAATATCTTCCCTGGCCTTGGAGTGCTTTCTACTCAGGGCCTGGGTACTGTCCCTGGTCTTCGGTAATAAAGGGACAAAATTGTTGACAGTCTATCAACTTGATTCACGGCACTACTTGTAAGAAATTTGATGATAATGGGCCATAACACTCTCACAGCAAATCCTACCTCGTTTGCCTTTCAATTGTGATCTTTAAACTTCATACTCTTTAGCAAGTAAGAATTCTGATGTGAAGCACCAGTGCCCTGTTAGATCAGGAGATCTTAATTACTTGATCCAAGCAGGACTCATGGTGTCCACACTACAGGATGCAGGTCCTTTTGCAATCACTTGGTAAAGGATTGTTTACTTATCATTCTGTAAACCATATCCAAATTCTTCCACTAAATATTTGGAAGAATGTATTGTTTACACAGATCATATTATTGGTCCTCAGGTTGAATTCAGGGGCCAAAATTTGTGAGGCTTCCTTTACCTTCTATACCAGATGCCCTTTTGTATCACTGATTTTTCACCTTAGGGTCTTGCTTCTCTGCCTGGTCCTTTCCACACACTAATTTTATAATTACCTTTCATAGGTAGTAAAAAAAAGATAGGCACATATGACCAGAGCCATGCTTTTATTGGCTAACATACCATTTTCATGAAGATTTTGCATGGGATAGCCTACTAATACTATTAATTTCAGCTTCCTGAGTAGCTAGGATTCCACACATGAGGGAGTTTAATTGCTCATTTTTAATTACTGGTCTTAAATTAAAAGAAGGAAGTGTATTTTACCCATTCAGTGAGTATTAAGTCCCTTAAATTCTGAGTTCAAACAAAGTGTTGGCCAAATGATAATAACAAAAATAATACAAAACATTAATATTATCATCAGGCATACTTTAAATGAATGTGGTATGTTGGTTCATAATTTGAGCTATATAACAGGCCTAGGTAGGACTCCAGTCTGTGAACCATCCCTTCTCAGAAAGCATAGTTTGTAAACATGAGAGAATGAGCGATTTCCAAATTGATGGTGTGTGTGTGTGTGTGTGTGTGTGTGTGTGTGTGTGTGGTACAAGTAGGAAGGCCAAAGGCACACACAGGTGCCTCCCAATCCCCCTATTTATTTTTACTAGGCCTCTGTAGATAAGTAGAAGTGTTGGGCTGGGAAGTTGGTTCAATGTTAGAGCACTTGCCTTTCATGCATGAGGTCCAGGGATCAATTCGCCAGCACCACAAAAACAAAAAGAAAAAGAAAGCTGGAAGTGGCCCTGTGGCTCAAGTGGTAGAGTGCTAGCCTTGAGCTGAAGAGCTGAGGGACAGCACCCATGCCCAGAGTTCAGGCCACAAGACTGGACCTCCCCACCCCACCCCCTCAAAAAAAAAAAGCAGAAGGGTAAATAGTGTGAGGGAAGAGGTTAAGGGAGCAACTAGCTAAATCTTACAATGTGAAGTCCACTGTCCTTATCTTGTAAATGGAATCATAGGCAAGATTTAAGGATTCTTTTTTTATTGTGAAAATACTGTAAAGAGGAGTTTTATTTTTGAACAATTGAAATACTGAAATTGTTGAAGCCACAAGCCTCCTGTTCCCAGAGGGAGATTTCTTCAGGACAGCCCACAGGGCTCATGCTTTGATTCCTAGCTTTTATGGAGGCCAAGATGAGAGAATCTCCATTGAAGCCAGCTCCCGCTGGCTTCAACTCAGTTCCTGAGTTCAACACCTGATATTGGAACAAAAAAAATTCCTTCATGAAAGTGTGAAAGTAGAGCTCTTCATGTAACCAAACAGCTCTGGACATATGTAGAATGATTGGCTTATATAGGATCTGGAGTCTTGGTCTTGGTTTACTAATTAAGCACTTTCTGATGTAACAGACATTTTTTCTAAATGCTTCCAAGATATCTTTAATTGCATAACTATACAATGGCATCTATCTTGGCTCCAGAAATTCTAATGTTAGGTCAACTTTTGTGTTTCTGTAAAAGAAGACAGTATATTTGTTGGAAGCCACATTATGGAAGATGGAATACTGGAGTCTATTACACAGCTAACAGTCTGCAAGCAGCCTGTTGTAACAAAGACTTGCAGTCCACAAATACACTTAGACAGCTTGGAAACAGAACAGAAAGGAAAAAAAAGAATAATAACTACACCAAGAAACCAATCAGCACCAAGAGAGTGATGAATTGGGACACTAGGATGACCAGAGACAAGCCAGGAGACAGGACACAGGACATGATCACAGAGACATGTGGCATGGCATCTAGTGTCACTGCTGCTCCAGCCTAAATAGGGCCTAAGCAGGAGGCAGGGCTACAGGAAATTCCCAGTTCCACAAACTGAACTAACAGATTGAGTAACATATCAGACAAATGTCCATGCCTGCTTCCAGGGATCCAGCCACACCCATCATTTGGGAGGCAAGTGATGGATGGGGCATTTCCTTCCCCCTGCATGAAGACAAGATGCCAGACCTCACTGTCCACCATGTGGCCAATAAGGCACCAGCCACACCTGACCTCCTTACTTAATATTACTGAATATTAAATCAATTTATAAAATGATACATCCTCTTTATCATTTTGTAAACAATTCAAGAATTTGCTTTTTGTAAAAGCCATTTTTCTTGAGCCACACCTCTGAAAGAATAATTCTCCCATTCACCAAAAATTAAACATTCTTCTTTTGAATAGTTTATTTCTTACTTCTTCCTCATTCTTTCCCTTCCTCTTTCCCTTTCTCACTTCTCTCCTTCCTTCTTTCCTTCCTCTCAGGGCCTAGAAGTGATGCTGTAGCTCAAGTGGCAGATAGTATTTATTTCAATTTTTGTGAGATTAATATCTTTGTGTGCTTGATTATTTCCACTAATGTCATATCTTACATTGGCCATCTATGAGATAACACAGTTGCGACACACCATTCACACTGGTGTTTTATTATAGCTCACTCAGCAGAACAACTAAATGGGCTAAGAGTGAATCAATCACCAGTGATTGTTCATCACCAGTGATTAATTAAATAAAACAGCAAGCACTGAAGATATTTTGAAGTTTTCCCCCAAGTCAAAATGCTGAGACTCTTGTCTTTATAAATCCACCATATTTTTATAATATATATTTTATTGTAAAGATACTGTACAAATTGGTTATACAATTATATGAATTAGGTCATGAATACATTTCCTATCGAGCATTGTTACCCCTCCGAGAAAAAATTTACTACTATGTATGTACTGCAATAAGGACTAATATCTTCCAGTAGATCTTCCATTCAATAACTGAATGTTAGTCATTTGTACAGTAATGCTGGATCACACAAATAGAGGAGGACTTAAGGGAGCAATAGAAAAAAAGTTGCTCTCATGTTCTTGCCTCCAATCAGAACAGTCTTCACTCAACTATTGTTCCCCTAACCATGTTGGAGATGATCTGAATCCAGTCCCAAAGGGAAAGACCTCATATTTCTTAGAAGAGATTATCAAATTACCCTAATATACCATTCCTTATTATAAAAGATGCAAGTTAATAACTTCAATCTCTGAATTACTTGTTATAACTGGTCATTTCCACATGTTTGGATAATATTGAATGACACCATCCCCACTCAACACGATGAAAATGTGAGAAATGTTGGCTCAAAAAGAGTTGAAGAGTGAAGAATGGTTTTCCATCACACCTAGCTTATCTCTGCGATGAAGGATTTCTCTGTATAATTTACACAGGTTTTCTGACAAAGATTTTCCTACAATGGGTTTCTTTCCTGGGTGAATGTTCTAATACTTGCTGAGGGTTGTCTTCTGGTTGAAAGACTTCCTCTCATGTTTATATTTACAGAGATTCTGTCATGTGTCCAGGTCTCTAATACCTGTTCAGATTTGACTCCTGGCAAAATGTTTTCTATACTCATAATTTCTTACCTGTCTATGCTCTCACATATGCTGAGGACTCAGTTCTGATTGAAAGTCATTTCACGTATGATCTATGCACTACTTTCTTTTCTCCTATGTGAGTCAGTTCTCTGATGAACATGAGGTATTCCTCTCTGATCAAAGGATTTCCACATTTGTAATATTTTTAAGATTACTCTGCTGTGTGTCCTATGAACTTGGATCCATGAATACTTGGTAAAGGACTTTCCACAATTGTTACATTTGTATTTTCTCACCTGTGTCTGTTCTCTGATGCAAACTGAGTTAGGACTGTTTCTTGAAAACCTTTCCATTAATTTTTGCTACATAGGATTTCTCTCCTCTTTGAGTGTGAGGTTGTGTGTTTGTGTGTGTGTGTGTCTGTGTGTTTTGTGTGTTCTATGATGAACCCTCAGTTGTATCTTGTAGTTAGAGGACTCCACATGTGCTATATCATAAGGTCTCTATCCTGTATAGGTTCTGTATTGCAATTTTAATTTTCTTACAGATCAAAGACTTTCCCATTTGGTACAATCCTAAGTTATTTCATTTGTGTGAATCAACTTATGTGTGTTAAGCTATGACCTCCAGGTCTTTCCACACTGGTTGCATTCATAAGGTTTCTCTCCTTGTGTTCTGTGATGGATGTTATGGTGTGCCTTCCAGGTGAAAGAATTTCCATGCCTGCTATATACATAACATTTCTCTCTGGTGGGGTTTTTTCTGATGGACAGAAAGGTGTATGTTCTGGGTGAAAGACTTTCCACATAGCTTACATTCATAAAATTTCTCTCTTGTGTGTGCTCCCTGATGGACAGTAACTTGGAGCTCTTGGCTGAAATATTTTCCACACATATGACATTCATAAGGTTTCGTTCCTGTGTTTGTTTTCTGATGGACAGTAAGGTTTGATTTCTTGGTGAAAGACTTTCCACACATGTTACATTCATAATGTTTCTCTCCTGTATGTGTTCTCTAATGGACAGTAATGTGTACCTTCTGGGTGAAAGACTTTCCATACACGTTACATGATAAGGTTTCTTTCCTGTGTGTGTTCTCTGTTGGACAGTAAGGTTTGACTTCTTGGTGAAAGACTTTCCACACATGTTACATTCATAAGGTTTCTCTCGTGTGTGTTCTCTGGTGGACAGTAAAGTGTAGCTTCTGGGTGAAAGACTTTCCACACACGTTATATTCATAAGGTTTCTTTCCTGTGTGTGTTCTCTGGTGGACAGTAAGGTTTGACTTCCAGGTAAAAGACCTTTCACACATGTTACATTCATAAGGTTTCTTTCCTGTGTGTGTTCTCTGGTGGACAGTAAGGTGTGCCTTCTGGGTGAAAGACTTTCCACACACGTTACATTCATAAGGTTTCTTTCCAGTGTGTGTTCTCTGGTGGACAGTAAGGTGTGCCTTCTGGGTGAAAGACTTTCCACACACGTTACATTCATAAGGTTTCTTTCCTGTGTGTGTTCTCTGGTGGACAGTAAGGTTTGACTTCTTGGTGAAAGAATTTCCACACACGTTACATTCATAAGGTTTCTTTCCAGTGTGTGTTCTCTGGTGGACAGTAAGGTGTGCCTTCTGGGTGAAAGACTTTCCACACACGTTACATTCATAAGGTTTCTGTCCTGTGTGTGTTCTCTGGTGGACAGTAAGGTTTGGCTTCTTGGTGAAAGAATTTCCACACATGTTACATTCATAAGGTTTCTTTCCAGTGTGTGTTCTCTGGTGGACAATAAGGTGTGACTTCTGGGTGAAAGACTTTCCACACAGGTTACATTCATAAGGTTTCTTTCCTGTGTGTGTTCTCTGGTGGACAGTAAGGCTTGATTTCCAGGCAAAAGACATTTTACACATGTTACATTCAAAAGGTTTCTCGCCTGTGTGTCTTTTCTGGTGGACAGTAAGCTCTGACTTCTGGATGAAAGACTTTCCACACATGTTACATTCATAAGGTTTCTTTCCTGTGTGTATTCTCTGATGGACAGTGAGAGTTGACTTCTGGGTGAAAGACTTAACACACATGTTACATTCAAAAGGTTTTTCTTTTGTGTGTGTTCTCTGGTGGACAGTAAGCTTTGATTTCTGGGTGAAAGACTTACCACAGATGTTACATTCAAAACGTTTCTCTCTAGTATGTGTTCTCTGGTGGATAGTAAGGCATGCCTTTTTGGCGAAAGACTTTCCACACATGTTACATTCATAAGTTTTCTCTTCTGTGTGTGTTCTCTCATGGATAGTGAGGTTTGACTTCCAGGTGAAAGACTTTCCACAAATGTTACATTCATAAGGATTCTTTCTTGAGTGCGTTCTCTGGTGGAGAGTTAGGTTTGACTTCAAGGTAAAAGACATTTCACACATGTTACATTCAAAAAGATTCTCATTTTGATGTCTTCTCTCATGGACAGTAAGATATGCCTTACTGGTGAAAATCTTTCCACACATTTTACTTTCATATGGTTTCTTTCCTGTGTATGTTCTCTGAGGGACAATATTGTGTGTCTTCTCGGTGAAAGACCTTTTATATTGTTTATATTCTTCAACTATAGAAGACAAATGAGGACTATATACAGCACACATCTTACCAGGTTCACTGAAAACACTCATGTTCTGATTCCCAGTGACCTTTTCTGTCCTCATTCCTAAGGAGTTCACATTATTCTTAATCAGTTCTGACTTCTGTTTTGAGCTCAAATTAAAACTTCTTATAAGTCTCACTTTTTCCTCCCCTGGGTTACTATTCATGACTGCTACTTCAGAGAGATATTTATTGTGACTTTCCTGACAGGTGCTAATCACATCCTCCATTTGTGGGACATCTAAAATGCATAACAGAAAAATAGACAAAAACATAAATGAAGTCCATAAATTCCTTACTGTAAAGGTATTTTCTCACATTTTAAGTGTTACAAGATTTTCAAATATCAAAGCATTGTTTTCTGCAGAATATAAACTTTTCTCTGCAACATACTAACTATGAATGTAGTACTGACATTTTACAATGGAAAATAATGTTTTTCTGTATTTCAGATTTTTCTATTTTTTTCTAGGAAATATTTACTCAAATTGTTCATCTACATACTCTTAATGCTTCCATTCTGAATGTCACTCTATGCTCAGCACAACTCATAAGCTATTGTCCTGATGAGAGAATAGCAGCACTACCATTCTCCTATTTTCCTCCTACCTGCATAATACTAGTTTAAAAGAAAATGAGATCTCCTTTTGTACATGTCCTATTGTCTTTTTCTCTTAAACAATGACTTCTCTACAGACAAGGAGAGTTGCTAATATTAACTACAATGGCACACCAAATTCAGTTTGTCCCCAGTGAATTCTGGATTGACAAGAATACTATTGCTCTGTACAGCTCAAGATAAACAGATCAACTGGGCTCTGGACCCATCATTAGCATTGTAGATGCTTTAACTCACCTGTGAAATTCTTGTCTGAGGCTTCTCTTATCCATGGTTCTGAACCTTGCTCCAGCCTCACAATCAATTCTGGTTTAGGTACACAGAGCCCTATGAATAAGAAACAGTGGAGAACAATTTGTCGTGCTGGGTCATCATTAACATAAGGTCGCAGACATCCTGTTCACAAGGTTGCTCCTAAATGTGGTTCCTCAATTGTTGTTGTGGGGGCAGTCTTGTTGTGGGACCTGAACTCTGGTCCTGGGCACTGTCCGGCAGATCTTCAGCTCAAGACTAACACTGTATCACATGAGCCATAATGCCAATTCCGGCTTTTATTTTCTGCTTATGTGCTGCTGAAGAATTGAACACAGGGACTCATGCATGGAAGGCAATTCCTCTACCACTGAGCCAACTTCCAAACCCATGGTTTCTCAATTCTTAACTGCTCCATTGTGGAGTAGAATCCACCTTTGGGTTTATTTTGCCAACTGCATGGCTTGAACTCAGCTCTTTTGCTAAAAGCTAGCATTCTACTAGTTTGAGTCTTCACTACGTTTCTAGTTTTTGAATGGTTAATTGGAGATAGTCTCATGGTCAATTTTTTACAGCTGCTGGTTTCAAACTGAAACCTTCAGATGTCAGCCTCCGGAGTATCTAGGATTTGTAGCTTGAACCACTAAACCCTGTATCAGGTTTGGTTTACAAATACACACTTTCACCTACTGATTTCCAGAGCATACTGTCAGTAGTAATGTATGTTCTATTCTAGACTCTAGATCCACCTATAATAATTACCCGTCTAGGAAGTCAGTCTCCTATTAGTAGATCATAGCTTAGGACTATTGTCCAAATACTGATTTGCCTTCTTAAAAAACGAGAATAAAATTAGCTCTTGTGTTACATATAATGAAGTTGAAGTTTCCCTTAGAAAAAAATGACACTTCCCATGGCCTGCAATCTTTTTTTTGAAAATGTAATGGTCCAAAGGCTTACACCTGTAATCCTATATTTAGGAGGTGAGATCAGAAGAGGCAGGTTTGAAACCAAGCTGGGCACGGAAACACAGAATATACCCCAAAACAAAAGTGAAAATAGAATTGTGGCTCAAGCACTAGTGTGAAAGACAAACAACACCAAGCTCTCAGACTCAAATTTGACTGGCTTTTATACCAGCAGTTTTTTACCTGGGAATGGACTGGAATCTTCTCCCTAAGTAACATAGTCTAACGTCTACTAAAATAAAAGCACTCGGGGCTGGGAAGGTGGCTCAGTGGTAGAGCGCTTGCCTTGCATGCATGAGGCCCTGGGTTCGATTCCTCAGCACCACATAAGCAAAAAGAAAAAATCCGGAAGTGGCACTGTGGCTCAAGTGGTAAAGCGCTAGCCTTGAGCTGAAGAGCTGAGGGACAGTGCCCAGGCCCAGAGTTCAGGCCCCACGACCGGACCCAAAAAATAAAAAATAAAAATAAATAAAATAAAAGCACTTGATCTTCCAAGTAAAAATAACCTTTGCTCACCCAAGAACATGAGGTTGCTATAGGTCTCCAGCATTACATCTCTATGAAGGGTCCTCTGATCAGGATCCAGATCCTGCCACTCCTTCCAGGTGAAGTCCACAGCCACATCATCAAATGACACCAGCTTCTGTAATGGCACATTTCCATCAAGAAATTAGACCTGGGTTATGAGAATTCCAACCTGGAATTTCATTATGCTGCATGTATACTTTTGTCTTACATAAAATGTTTGCAGCTACCTTTGTTATCTATTCATTGGGAGAATTAAATACCAAACTAGAAATATTTGACAATACATAAACCTGGTCATTAAAATACTCAGATTTGTGGGGCGCTGGTGGCTTATACCTGCAATCCTAGCTATTCAGGAGGCTGAGGTCTGAGGATCAAGGTTCAAGGCCAGCCCAGTCAGGAAAGTCCATGAGACACTTATCTCCAATAAACCACCAGAAAATGAAAGTAGCACTGTCACTCAAGTGGTAGCACTCACCTTGACTTGAAGAGCTGAGGGAAAACAACCAGACCCAGAATTCAACCCCCAAGACCAATAAAAAATTACAGTTTCCATAATGCATGCAATCACATTTCTGCTGCTAGCAGTAGAGACAAGATAAAAACTCTAAGGAGACAATAATCTGGCATGATAACATTAAGTCTAAGGAGGTGTCTGAAAAATTATATTATCATTTTTGATAAAATTTCAGTACATACCAGGGTAAAAATGAATTAAACCAATATTTTTCCTGCATTTACACATACTGCTTCACCATAAATCCTATTTAGACCTTCTATTAACAAGTACTCTCAAAAGCAAGCAGCACACATTCAGAATATCACATGGAATACAGAACATAGAGCATTGCTAGATCTATGAAAAGCAGTGTCCACATGAATGTTCAAAAAACAGGAACAGTACTCCAGAAAGTAACTAATGATTGATTAGGCCCTTATAAGATTTAATTGAGTTCCCACATAAAAATATCCGTGGTTTACCATGTTTGGTTTAAATGCTAAATATTGAAATGTGGTCATAGATACCCTGATATTTCCTTCTTATGTAGAAAAGAACTGCTACCATGAAATTTTGTCAACTTTGCCTACATTCTACAATACAAAATATAGGTGGGAGGGAAAAAAATGTTCCTTGACAAGGTTTTCATTTTAATAGGCCTTCATGGAAGGTGAAGGCAAATATAGAGAGGCTCAAGGGACACTCAAGATGACAAAAATGATAAATATGACCAAATGCTCAAACGCATCACATATTCTTGAATCCTTTCTCCAGAGTATCTCTAAGGATATATTTTCACTTGTGTTAGTTAATAGTGAAATACCTCAGAGATCAAAATCAATTAGTGAGCAAACATCTGTGAGATTTTGCGGCAAGTGATATTTCTAATTGAGAACATCTTGTCACTGTATTATTTTTTTTTTTAAACACTAGTTCCAATCTTATACTGGCAGTGAATTAAAATATTCAACAGTAGTGGGATGGAAAAACAAAATTAAATACCACATCAAATGAAGTTAGACCAACACAAAATCAGGAGAAAACAGATTTTCTTGTAGTGTATCAATTGGTAGAAGGAAGTACTTTTCTGTAGGGAACTCTGAAGTTGGCTGAAGGGAAAAAGGTTTGAGAAGTTGGAATTCCAGCCTGACAGCACTGAGACAAGTGAGAGCTGGCTGCAGAAGGCTTAAAAGAGAATTCTGGAGAGGGTTAAGAGACTGGAGTGCAGGCCTTTTCCTTACTGTTGGAAAGATAGCATCTGAAACTGAGGTGCTGTTGACCTTGAAGGTTAGGTAAGGTGACCTCCATGTCTGCATTTTCTCTGGGCGACAGTCTTCTGTCTCAGGAGAATAAGGAAACATGTTTTCCTCACAACCTGTTATGGCTCTGATTGTACTATTAATATAGATACTTCTTTTTTTTTTTTTTTGTCGGCCGTGGGGCTTGAACTCTGGGCCTGGGCGCTGTCCCTTAGCTCTTCAAGGCGAGTGCTCTACCACTTGAGCCACAGCGCCACTTCCAGTTTTCTGGTGGTTATTTGGAGATAGGAGTCTCACAGTCTCTCCTGCCCGGGCTGGCTTTGAACCGCGATTCTCAGATCTCAGCCTCCTGAGTAGCTAGGATTACAGGCGTGAGCCACCAACACCTGGCAGATACTTCATTTTTGCATGTTATCAAAGGTAATCTTCCCAGTGTGCACTCAAGGAACTATAGGAGCTTTCTGGCGCCCAGGGACAAAGTGCCAGAGAGCCTTTGGAACCCTGGTTTCCCGTACGTCTATCTGTTTGTGTTTTTGTGTGTCTCTACTTTTCTTTGTTTCTGGAATCCTGTAGAACTCTCTAGGCAATAATTTTCCTATACTAATGGTAAGAAAAATGTCAATCCTAAGAGGCATGTCAGCAACTTAAAGCTGATCACTACGAAAATCTTGTTCCAGATAGATCATTTGAAGAAAAGAAACAACTGAGACACATATGGAGGAAAGAGGGAACGAAAAAAGAAAAAAATGATAGAAAGCTAGATACAAAGAGAGTGAAAGAGAAAAATAACCAACACTAGCGAGTAGAAAATCAAAAATAGAGTTCTGAGGATCGCGGTTCAAAGCCAGCCCGGGCAGGAGAGACCGTGAGACTCCTATCTCCAATAAACCACCAGAAAACCAGAAGTTGCACTGTAGCTCAAGTGGTAGAGCGCTCGCCTTGAGCTGAAGAGCTGAGGGACAGCACCCAGGCCCAGAGTTCAAGCCCCACGACCGACAAAAAAAACAACAAAAAAAAGAAAATAAAAAGTAGAGAGAGAAAATAGAGGAAAGAAATCTTTTCAGAATACTTTAGAAAACAAACAGGAATTTGTAGAAAGACCATAAAGCTTAGCAACAAATACAGGCAAAGTTTCAAGTAAGACCAAGACCATGAAGCAGTCCAAGAACTATATATGCAGAGTAATGTAAGTACATTTAGGTTAATCATTCCTTAAGAACACATGAAGGTATGTATGACCACACTATTTCAGCAATTCCAAGAAAATTTCATTGAGATAGTTTAATGTTACTCATGAGGAAGTGATCTGGTGGCAATCTATCCTTCACTTTCCATGAGAAGTAACCTGCTTGGTGTCATTACATCACATAACAGGTAGGACTACATTTTATGACAAGATGAAACCTAGACATTCTGAAGCTAATCTGAATTCAACTTAGAATATAACCATTTGATCTGCTAAACCTACAAGCAATCCTTATCTGCTAATTTACAAGCCTTCTTTATCTGATTTATGAAAATGGTACTGAGGCTGAATCTGTGTGGTTGGTATTGTTTTTAATTCTTGGACATCTTTAGGTTCATATAATGGAATGGAAAACAAATGAAAAATAATAAAACTACTTACCAGAGATCCATTCATTCTGTCTTGCTGCTGACAACGAGCAGAAGATTCTGGAAACATGGCTGGGATATAAGGGAAATGATGCATTCAGAAATGAATCTGTGAGATTTTGGGCCCAGAATTTCCTCTTGCAAACATGATACATGGGATGCAAAACCGTAAACTTTTTTTAAAATTTTTATTTATTTTTACCTGAAAAAGTAAAGCCTTCTTATAAGCAAAGAATCTTTAATGTCTCAGGCAGAGCATTAAAGTGTCCAATAAACAAATCCAGTCAATTTCCTGTTAGATAGATATTATTAAAGCAACTAATTTCTATGTTTATGTACACACTAAATTCAAAGAAATGAATGGCCCCACTGGAATTATTGAATAATTGAAAGCAAAAACACATATTTCCATTAAAAGTTATTATTACTGAATATACTTAGGGATGTATGAAGTACTTTATTTTCCTTTTTTTTTTTGCCATTCAAGGTGCCTCAACTCTGGGCCTGGGCTCTGTCCCTCAGCTCTTTACCTCAAGGCTAGTGCTCTACCACTTGAGCCACAGCACCACTTCCAGCGGTTTCTGCTTATGTGGTGCTGAGGAATCGAACCCAGGACCTCATACATGCAAGGCAAGCACTCTACCACTGAGCCACTTTTCAAGCCCATGAACTGCTTTTTTAATACAAAAGTATCATAGGAATCCATTGTAATTTGTGTTCTACCTCATTTATTTACATATTTAAACACCGTGGATAACATGTATGATGTAACTCAGTAATTTCCCCCCAAAGTTAGAGAGAAAAATGTATATAGAATATATTTCTTATGTTATACTACTTCAATAATGGATGTCAAATGGCACATTTCACTCTACCCATTGCACACATATGCAATGATTAGCAATTTGCCATTTAAAATGCTTTGTCCAAAGGGACATGAGTAAAGATGAGGTAAACCCAGGTTTGAAAAGTCCCTAACGTTCATTTCCCTAAACAGTCATGCGAAGAACCTTGGCCATCCTAAAGATACAACATAAAATAATCGATATAGGCGTGACACACCTGAAGATAAGTAACACCTACAGAGCATACAAACTTGCATAAGACATATTACCTCAAGTTTTCTTCTGTGAATTTTCTTTTTAGGCCACATGTCCCAGACCAACACTTTCTGTACAACCAAGCACAACCAACCAATTAGAGCTAGCATTAGCAAATCCATAGATGGCACATTTAATGTAAGTTTGCATGATTACATACTAAAAATCACAGTGTTAACAGGCTGAATAAATTAGCAAAAACAGGGTTAGGGATTACTACATGAATAGATACTTTCAGTCATAACAATTACCCCACCATCCCAAAGCACAGCCTCAGGTACCCTCTCATAACTATGCTCTGGCTTATTCCTCAATCCAGCTCATCACGCCTCCTAGAAATTAGTTTAATCTTGCAACAACACAAAGTGATTGAGAGTGGTGTAGGAAAGAGTTCCACGTGAATCTGGTGCTCAGGGAAGTAGCAACTATTTTTGCATAAGGCAAAGGAAGCTAGCAACATCTTCCCCTTCCTTGCTTTTCTGCTTCTTCCCTTTAGGGCTTCTCAGAATTGACAAGGTCTGTTCATTTAGGATAGAGATTCCTATTCATA